GTTTCAAGCAATAAACTTATTATCAAACAATTTTATTCAATTTTTTTTTTCTATGCAATATTTAAATAAATCTATCGATTCGATTCCCTTAACATAACGCGGTAAAAATGGCATTAAAAAGCCACCTGTTTTCCTACACCTAAGCGACTCTCTATGAAAAAATTTTAATTACAATGTGAATAATTACCTGAAAAATTTTTGAAAATTTTAAAATTTTGAACCAAATTTCTGAAAAGAAGAGAGAAAAATGATTTGATAAAATGATAAAATAAACAATAATCAATTATTACTTTTCAATCATAAAAATATCATTGAAAAAAGATTTTCATAGGCCTTTTTAAAATAAAATGCTCAGAATTTCTGGTTAGGCTACCTTCACTGGCTTGTCACGCCAAGTTTACCAGAGAGTCACTTGATGATAGAAATATAGATGGATCGCTAGTATCATCTCGGTTTCTTAAAAAGATAACACTTTCACTCTTGCCAGAAACAGAACTCTACTGGCTCTTTGAAACGAGATCAACAATCCATGCTATCCATGCTATTCCTTTGAATATTCATATCATTCTACGAATATTCACACAATAAATATCATAAATTCATTGTTTATCGAGTATTTGTTAAAATCCATTTTGAATTGAATTAATAATTGCCTCATTCAAAATTATTCCAAATTAAAGTTAGTGTATCTTCCAAAATAAATCTCGTCAAAATAATGCCTTTCTACATAGAACTAATCTAATTTAATAACTCATCTGGAAATACTAATAAAAATATTAAATATTTCTCATGTGAAAATCATAACACCCAGTAGAGGAAAATATTCTTTTCACATTTTATGAAAACAATGAAGATTTACACTTTTCTCTTAATGCCTAAATAATAAATATAAACGAAAAAAAAGAAAGAATTTAAAGCAAAACTTTAAATTTATATTTTCGCAAAAAATCACTGAAGTCGATTTTTTGCTGCTTATTGGGAATTCTTTTGGTAAGTGAATCTCAAATCTTTCATTTCTGAGAACAAAAGAAAAAAAAAGCGAATTATAACAAATGTAACTTTTTTATGATTAAAAAAATCCCGCAAATTTGCAAGCAAAATGCTGCTAAATACGATTCGACTACCAAATAAATATTTCTTTTCAAAAAAAATAAAGAATTAAAAATATCTAACCAATAGACGACTCGTGTTTGTCATATTTCCTGACTATGTTGATTCCTTTTTCTCTTTTTTCTCCTGAATAATACCAAATAATACCAAATTCCTGTTAAAAAACACTTCTTCTATTTCTATTTTTACTTATGAAATTGCCAAAAAACGATGAAAACGATGAAAAGAATTTTTAGACATATGTAATAATCACCATCACTAGAAGTGAACAAAGTGAGCAAACAAAAAAAAGTGCACTGAATAACTTTCTCCATATAATTCATGAAGGAAAGCAATATTTTTTAAAGCATTCATTACTGAGCCTAGTCAATTGAGCCAAAATGAAAATCATTATTATTAATAATACGAACTATTGATGAAACGATTAATACTGCATCACTCAAGAAGGTTTTGTTTAAATATCGTTTGATGCAATTATTTTTTGCTTTTAATAATAAACTTCAACCAACCTCTGTAACTGTCCAACTGATAAATTCCTTCTTCCTTATAAGCAATGACTTGGATTATTTTTAGTCAACACAGGTAATAACACCTAAAAAACATAGTAGTAATAAGAAATATTGTTTAAAACAACTATAAACGTTAATTTTAAAAAAACTAAAAATAATTCTCATCATTTACGACTATTTTCGTAAGAAAAAGGAAAAGATGAGAGAAAAAAGCAATTTCTAAAATTGTAAATATTTAAAAAATACAGTAATCTGAAGAAATAAATATTTTAGAAACTTGATAAAAATTTAAAAATACAATAAAAATTAATAATAAATAAATAAAATAAAAACTTAAAAATATTAAATTTTAAAAAAATAAAAATAAAATCAAAAAAATAAAACATCACTCTTACCGATTTCACCAATCAATGTATATAATTACCCAAAAAAATAATGAGCAAATCAAATAATTTGTTGTTGCTTTTGGTTGATCAGTTCGTCATAAATCTAAAGAATGAGCTTCTAAAGGAAAAAGCACGATAAAACACCAAAATTACTGGAGCGATTCAACAAAAGATCGATTTTTTAGTTGAAATTGAAACTCTATAAATCTAAATCTAAATCAGCAGGCACGATAAGGCATAATTTTTCCAAATATTCAACAAATCATGAATTAATTCAATTTTTCAAAATAAAATTTCGCCATAAATTCAATAAATCTACCACCTCTTAATACTTGAATTTTTATGCCATCTTTTCGACCATTTAACCAAAGGCCTCATCACTAAATAAAATGCAAAAATATTAATTTGATCAAGTCGTTTGGCCAACTAGTTACTTGCTTGATTTAGAAATAACAGAAACAAGCAATCGAGATGAAATCGAGATGACAGCACTTTTTCAAAGAGCATTTACCAGTAGCGGTTAGACTTGCTCCTCTGGCTTGTCGCACTAGACAAATATACCAGAGAGCGCCTTTCAGCTGATGATAGCATCATAAATTTTTAAAAAATGCATCATTTAAAATTTAATTATTTCTTATAAATATTATAAATATGCCAAAAATACCTTCGCAACGCATTTACTACCATATTAGGTAATTTATTTCTGTAATTCTTAAGAAAATTATTTGTTACTGAAGACGGACGACGATGTTAGGAAACAATTCGAAATTTTATTTGTCTTGTATGATCTTTATTAATTTCTTACGAATCGTTCAGCGCAGAAGGCGAACAAAAAAAATTTTTCGAAAAAATCCGAATAAATTCTACGCTTCGTATTTATTTCTATAAAAAATGAACAAAAGCGAAAGGCAAATAAGTTAATAACGAAATCAATGAAAGAAATAAGGATTAAACTCTTTTAAGCTTTTTTTTTGGTTTAATGAAATTATATAAAAGGTAAATAATAAGTAATGTATGCATGATTGTAACCCACTGGAAAAAATTAAGTAAAATTACTGTTATCACTAACGCTTATCACATTTTCAGTGAAATTCGATTAGCTAATGAAAAGCTAACTGGTAGCGCAAAATATTTCATTAAAGTAAACAGCAAAGTGAAAATAAAACCAAAAATATGTGTCATCAATACAGAACTATAAATTACGAATGCAAATGACAAAAGAAAAAGTAACTTTTTTTAAAGCGAAAGCAAAATTTAAATAAGATATATATTTATAAATAATATATATATTTTCGCTGAGAGAATTTCTCATCAGATTTGTACCGCTTGGACCTCGTCGAACTAGTTTAGACCTTTTGGGACTCGCATAACGATGGAAATTATCACCTGGATTTTTCTGAGTACCACGGAAAAAGGTACCAAAATTATTAATAATTTTAAATAATTTTAATAACCAATCTTATCACCTAATCTTGTCAGCGAAAAAAAAAAATTTTGCGACAATGAAAAAAAATTGAAAATAATGAAAATAGTTTTCGACACTATAACCGACCAATTGACATATTCAAAAGGAAGCGAAATGAAATTAACGCCACGGCTCGTTTAATGTACGGCACGCGGCCAGGTGCATATCGAAGATTTATTGAACGAGAAGTGCTGTTGTCGCTGCCTAGTGAAATCGGCGAGAAAAGCTTCGTACTTTCGAATTTTTCGAATCGTTTATTGGAAATTATCGCAGTAAAATTGGAATTTAAGCATTCACCATTCCTGGTTAGATTCGTTCCACTTGCCCGATTTAACAAATTTTACTTTTAAAAAGTCACTTACCGATAGAAATGTAAGTAAGTGGCGAGTATCGCATGGATTTTTGGAGGACATGGATTTTCATCTATGCAACGAGTATTTTTATTCACTTAAAAAAGGAGGAAAATTGCGATATTGGAGAAATTTTTGTATTGTACTGGATTATGAAGAATAGGAGAAAACGATCGTTGCGTTCTAGCGACAGGTGTGAGCATCATTAAGTATCTTTAGTATCAAGAAAAAAGCGCTCTTCAACAATCACTTCAGTTGTCACTTCCATCATTATTATTTTTTTGTATAGAATGTGATAGTCGACTATAATTAAGAATTTTTTACTGTATAATCACATCAATATTTCTGTTAGATCAGTTCGACGTAGATCTTTTCAGTTAGATTAAATCCTATTTGAATGAAAGCTAGAAATCGTTATTGAAATGAACAGCTGAAATAGACTTGCAAAGTAATAACAAACTGTGATTCCATTTTTCTTTCTTAGATCTTGCATGATAAACGTTAATGTAATTCTTAGAATATTCTTTGAAAATAAAACTGAATTAAATTGATGGCTTAAATGATCAGAAGGACGTATAAATTAATATGAAGAAATTCATATCGTAGTTTCCACATTCCACATTCCTTCATAAGAGGTAGTTTAAGTTTTCTTCGGAAAATGACCTTTATTTATGCAAGAATTACTCGATGAAATTAAGTTTATACATGAAATTGATAACTGATAATGTTAATAAAATTTAAAGTCTGCTTTACGTTCCAGAAGAAAAACTTTCTCCAAAAAGAAGTTACGATTCCTGGTTAATCTCTCTTCGTAATTTAAACCAGATAGTTAATTGAAGATAGAAGTATAGGTCACTCGCTAAATCCCGAAGTTTGAAAAAAAGCACTTATAGCTCATTGGGGTGGAACCACAACACCTGTGCCTAGAAATGGGAACCTCAACCCATTGACACTTTTGTCACGCTTCGCAAGAATTATGTGTAAGATTGATAAGAAATAATCTTTTAATGAATAACAAATAGAATATAACTTTAGTTATTTTATTTAATATGCGATGTAAAATCATATTTGGCAGAAAAAATCTAATAAAAATACGAGTTAATCATTTTATAAAAAATTTTTTAAAATACATTTTGCGAAATTTTTTTTATTTTCTCTTTGTTTTAATTTATGATAACTTTCAATCAGTGATTATTATTCTTTGTTTTTTCTCCACTTTTTTATTAGTTATAAAATTTATGAAAAGAATTTTTGAAAACAAACAAACTCGACTTAGAACTCAAATTTCGCGAATTTTTTCATCATTTATTTTTATAGAAATTTGACACAAACTTTAAAAATATTTGTTTATTTCAAAATATAGAAATTCTTTTGCGCGATAAATAGTGGTGAGATTTGAGGAAAATACAGGTAAGATAAAGATAATATTCATTTCCAATGGGTAATTCATCTTATCTGATAAGCTACCAGTGTCACTTCGTAAAAAAAAAATATTAATGCGGAATGAAATATGGTGATAGAGGAAAAATATGCGATATGATTAATGGATGATAAGAGAAACAAAAAACGGTTTTGATACGCAACACAAACGTATTTGTGTGCACATTTTTGGCTGTTTAAGAAATTTAATTTCTTATATTGTAATTCTCTTTTGATGAAAATAAAATATCAGCAAAATATCTGCAAAAATATTGATAATTTTATGAAAATTCGTTATGCTGATTACATACAACGAATAAAAAATATTTTGTCTAAATGAATAAAAAAAAACCATTCCTTTTAGAAAATTCCAAAATCAAGCTTCTTTAATATTGAGTTCCTTAAATTATTCTGCTACCACCTCTCTTCCATAAAAATCTGAAAGAAAAAATCCATAAGTTTCTGATACATTGTAAAATGTCATAAAATATAAAAAATACCTATATAATAATGATGTTATTAAAGCACCAATAAGTGGACCAATCCAGTAAATAAAATGATACGACCAAAGGAGCGAACTATCGACACCAAACATCCATGAAACGAATGCTGGACCAAGACTACGAGCTGGATTCATGCTAGCACCAGAAATAGCACCACTGGAAGATGTCTTAGAATGATATAAATGATAAATATAGCCATTTTTTTTTTCATTTATTCATCTATGATAATTGGTTTCATAAATGTTTGTTACCGATAGATTTATCAAATAAAAATAAAAGCTAAAATTAATTTAAATTGATCATGACGATATATATGCATCCAATCTTCACAAGGCAATTAAAGATTGCAGTAGAACTCCGATTATACATCACAATGCCTGCCGTCAATCTCTATTAACCACCAGGAGATGATTCATAGATTGGTTCCAGGAAAATAAAATTTACTGAATTGTTAAAAAAGATTTGTTTCAAACTCCATTAGTGATATTAGAACACAGTTATATATGCACTTTTCTTCTGTCCCTAACAGAGCCCATTTCCTCTGGCTTGTTGGACTAGGCAAACAGAAGCAAGCGAGTTGTTATCGTTATTCATCTATCTAAGTTATGAATAATGTAAAAAAATGAAAAATTTGAAAAATATCCGACCCCTTGTGTGTTTTTATAGGCCTACAACGTTTCTAATGTGCATACCATCATGGTCGTCGATTCGTACTTTGATAGATAATCGAAATTCCATTGTATAATTACGCTTCTATTAAATTTTTGAAGCTTTTTCGTATTTTTTCTTCAGAAATTCTTTAGAAGTTGAAAATTATTAAGCGCTTAAAATAAAGTACTTACACAGCCAGTATACCTAAGGCTACAGATAAGCCTATAGCCAGTGGCGCAAGCATATTTGACGATGTATCGACCGCTGTCATTATCACACTTTGAGTTAGGACAAATGTTGTTATGGCTTCAACAACAAGGCCCTAAAGATTAAGAGGAATAAAAGAGGAATAAACTTTGTTATAAACATCTAATTATCCGAATCAATAGCCACTTATTAACGAACTAATATTATAAAATGAGTCTCTTATGAATCTAATCTATCGTTCAATGAAAATTTAATATTCAGCAAGAGAGATTAATTAACAAATGAGGCAAAAACGTAAAAATTATCAAAAATAAATAGACATAGAAATGCAGTTATATTCTGGTTACCTGGTACCAACCATAATTGGGAGACAAAATAGTGGCTCCACCGTTTATTGCAAGAAAATTCGATTCATATGAAACAGCCTGAAAATAATAAAAATTTTCGCGAAGTATTTGGTTGATTTGGTTGACTGAACGATTTTCTTTCAAGATTCGTTTGTAAAAGAAAAAAACAAAGATACGCTTAATAACGAACTCTTGCAAGTAATGCACCACAAAAACCACCAAAAAGTTGAGCGGTAATATAAAGAATCCCATGAGTTAATTTTAGTTTTTCGCACAAGATGACTGTCAGAGTGACTGCTGGATTGAAATGACCACCACTAAAATATCAAATTTTGTTCACTTAGCAAAAATATTCAATCGCCAGCCTAATTAAGACAAAATTTATTATAAGACATTATGGTCGATAATTTAATTCCGAGCCTTTAATAGATGGCCTTGACTGATGATTTTTTTCAGTGGAATAATTTTTTCCTTTATAAAAATTATCGGAAATTGCACCATCTAAGGTGACTGCTTTAGTGTTACAATGGAAATTGACTTTGAAAGGAGCTTTCTTAATATTTTACTGCCATAATTATCTTTTTTCAAATATACTCGAATATTAGAGTTTGCAATTAAGTTATTTATTTATTTATCACCGTACTGAATTCATAATTGCCCTAAAGCCATATTTTATAAACTTAAATGATCTATCGTTAAGATAATAAGCAATTTGAATATAGATTTAACCTAATATGTCCAAGTGAAGCTGCGAGTACAAAAATGGTAATGCCATGAGAGAGAGCAGCATTAACTATAGTTTCATCTGCCAAGGCTTGAGTAATTCCTGAAAGAGCACCAGAATTTTCAATTTTTTAACTAAAATTTTTTAAGAATTTTTTTAGATCTGAAAAGCCCGAAATGAAATATTTATGAGAGGCCAGATTATTTGCTATTTCCATTTTCATATTGGTATTTACTACATCTCTAAATTGGAATAATTGATATAATCATAATAAATTTATAATTTCATAGTTGCAGAATTGTACATTTCTTACATCTTACATTTTTTTGTCCTGAAAAAAGTAAAATTACCATTAGGAAATAAAAACCCAATAGGCCTTAGGATCCACTTCAAGTATCTACTACTGGTTTCTACTGGCTTTATGGTGAAAGGATCATATGTAAATTGAGTAGTCTTCGTGTTTGCCAACTCGTATTGTACCTCTAAAAGTTAGAATAAAAATTCTGAAGGCAATAATATCTTGAATTTGTTGGGAAAAACCGGCAGATATAATTTAGCTGCATACGGTGATCACTTGATTTTAACTGCGTAATACATCAGGGCGCTCGAAAAATAGTTCTTTTCTCAACCCCTATGGGTGGTAAGGATCCTCCTTAACCTCGGGTAGCACGCCAAAGGCCTAAGGCATCGAAGGTTCTGTGCAATATCTTAGCTGTTCCTAACATTCTTCTAGACAGATTTCTAGTGTTGTTCCTGGAATCTTCTCTAGTATAGAGAGTTAGGAGGTAACCGCGCACACTTTTCCGAATATCATATTTATGTCGCTTGTCTGTCGGAACCATCTCCCTCACTCCTGGTTTAGGGTATATTCTCGTCAGAAAGTCACTGGGAGGGGCAAATTAATGATGAGTTTGAAAACGATTTTATTCTAGGCGCCGGAATTCAACATATAATGGTCGATTTCAGTCTAAAAAATCTGAAACCCCTCAAACTCCTATTTTTATGCACAGTAAAAATATGAGTAAGTTGATGAAGATGATTAATATGCAAAAATTCACAATGGAAAATCTCATCATTAAAATAAAACTCCATCAGTCTTAAAAGAAGGAGTTAAAAAGTGGAATTAACGAAGAATAAATTTAATACTCTAAGTTTACTTCAGAAGAATGCTAACAGATAATAAAGGGCCTATTTTTTTTTAAAGAGTCCTCACCATTACTGGTTAAACTCGCTCCACTGGCTTGTCGCATTGGGCAATATGCCAGGCAGCCCTTTGGCGATAGAAATACAGGTGAGTTGCTAGCATCACCCGAATAAAGGACCTATTATCACTTTAAAATACCGCCAAAATGATGATCCTTAGTTTCAATAGTTGCAGTATATAAGCAATAGTTTAGAGCATAGCATCTCACCTACTTAAAATATTTATTTACGTACCAACGAAAACAAAAATAAGATCGCCAATGAATTCAACGGCTAACTTATTGATGAGTCGATAAGAATGAGGTGATGCATCTGAACTGTCTTTATACATCTGAAATTATAATCTGTAGAGATTCGCTTCTGCTTAAGCAACCGAATCAAAAAATAGAGGTATTATAGAAATTTTCGGGAATATTAGAAATTAAAAATTTTAGTTGGTGGCATAGTATAAGTACAAATATGAAGGATAAAGCAAAAGTAGCCAAAGAAGGTATATAAAAACGCTTATTTTTCAAGACAACTTAATATGTTCACAAAGTGTTCCAGCAATAACTATTAATCACTTATCTTTGATAAAAATAAAATTCAATTTAATTGGTCGAGTTTCCACTCCATTCATTTGAATAATCTTCTTCTTGCCTAAACTTCTGCGTTTGGTTTACATAAAATCTCATTGTAAGTCAATCGCTTGGGGATAAAACTTGATCTCATTCTCATCCCCCTCTACACTAATAATAAGTTTGTTCTTATCAAATGGGAATCAAACCTACCAAAACTAGAAAACAAATAAGCCTATCTATTATCTCATTAATCATGCTCTGCTAGACATTACAATGATTTATAATACAAACAAAGATTTTAAATACTTCTATAAAAAAGAATCCACTTATAACAAATGGTAATGACGCGGCTGTTCAAACAAGATGGAAATTTCGGAATGTTTTTTAAATTTTTATAGTCCTATCTTGATGAACTTTTATTTTTTTGGTCTATTTAATTGAGATAGAATAGTAGATTTTTGCTCTCTTGCTCACTTCGGAAATGCCGGAAATTTGAGGTTCTACTACTAGCAGGATTGAATCTATTCTCAAAAACATAGGTGGCGTTAGCGATCCATCTTAAATTCTTATATCACTAAGTGATTTTCTGGAAAAAAATCTGATCCGACAAGCTGATGAAAATTTAACCAGTAATATACTAAGCACTTTTCAAAAGAAACAAAAAAAAATTTCATTTCATAAATTTTTAAAAATTTCATAATTTTGTCATCGTTCATTTCTTCTATTTCATTTCCGTGCAATTCTTTTCAAATTATATCAAATTCGATAATGATTTTTTATCAGCGATGATTATTTGCTTAAAGCTTTCATACAATCATCTGTTTTATTAAACCATATATTTATAATATTTATTGATTAAACCGGAAATTCATTTTAAAAATTAAGATACACTAAATTCTTTATAGAAAAAATTGCAAAAAACTTATTTATTATTCCCATAAATGATGCAATTTCTTTAATCAGTGAGCAATATGCCGCTTCTTGCATAAGCAGCTCGAGTTCCTCTTTCTTGGTTGCATTGAAAATCTGCCATTAAAAAAGAAATCACGTTAGATGCTGAAGGCTTGCCAAGGGATTCAAATCTATTAGTTTCTGGTGTCAACTAAAATTGGTGCGCCCTTTAGGAGAATATTCTGAGGGACATTTTTGACGAATTAAATTCCTTATTTTAAAAAAAATCATAAATTTTTATATTGATAAATAAATTTATAAGAATTTTATCAAATTCATTAGACTATTCATATCAGAAAAATAAAACAAAAATGGGTTTTGCGAAGAGTAATATAAAATTTTATCGACAAAAACAATCGTAAGATATGAAGTATTCGTTTAAAATGTTCTAAAATGGTTTTTTAAAATCAGCTAGAAAGATTATGAAAAATGAAGCAATTTTCATAAAATATGGAAAAAATATTAAATTTTTTAAATAAGCGCTTACATTTCTGGTTAAGCTCACTTCCACTGACTTATCGGGCTACACATATTTTACCAGGATTTGGCGATTATACAGCTGACCCACTTGCACTGAATGCATTTTTGAGACAGGTTTACTCCTGCATCGAAGCTTCGAAATAGAAGCAACACCCCCCACTGGGACATTCGACAATAATAATAATAAGATTTTAAGTTAATAAATGAATGATAATCGAGAAGTTCGATAACAATAGCAAAGAAAAATATAAAAAAAGCATAAATTATTGGAAAAATTGAAAAGGTAAGGAAAATGATAAGAAAAAAAAGATAAGCTTAAAGAAAAAGAAAAACTCCATCATCATGTTTCATCAAACTAATTAAAATAAATTGCGAAAGTAGACACCTTTCCAGATTTATGAAGCACCAAAAATTCATCACATGGCAATGAATGATGCTTGTATATCCGTATGAAACAACATAATTTGCCATATTATGGGTGTATATTTGCGCTATATATCAACAAAAATGCTCACCTAATTGTTCCAAAATCAGTGAAATTTTTTGGATCTCTTAATTTGAAATTTAAAAATCTCTTAATTTTCGTTAAAATTGCTGAATCAGATTGTTAACCATTAAAATTCTCTCGCTGGCCGTAATTCATCTCTTATCATCTATTACCAACATCCTTTTAGATTTCGCCTAGTCCTAACAAACCTTTCAAAAACTGCCACATCTTCATAATAAAATCCTAAAGACCTATCATATTTCAATAATACCTTTCAAAGTACCACTAAGACTCAATGTTCCATCAAAATCTCGTTACTTTTATCATAGGTAGCATTACTATAAATCACCTTAAAATATCTTAAACACTTTAATATCGTTGTCTTTGAAATAGGATCTGTACTGCTTTTCATAATCTTTTCTCATCTGATCAAAGCTCACTGTATATTTTTTTTACCATATAATAACATTTCCTTAAGGCTTCTTATCAGTCACAGCTGTAGCGCATTAACATGCTACCAAAATCAGTTGCGCTCATTTTGAACTTACCAATTCTCCTTAAAAAATGGTTAAAACTGTTTGCCTCTAAATTTTAATTCTCCATGCTCGTGCTCTTGGATTTCTCAAAGTCTGTGATATTCTACGAAACGCGGACTCGATTAAATTCTTGATTTCCTAAAATCTCTTCCACACCCAGTTCTAACTTCTTCTTTCCATTTTATTACCTTAAAGCACTGATAAACATGACTTTTGTCACAACTACATTTGCAAATTATCAATTAACAAATTTTTAAGACAAATGTTGGTATCGCGGTGAATGTAGTCAAGAGAATATAACAGGAATTGAATGATGGTCGGAAACAACTATAAGAGTTTGGGTAGTATGAAAATGCACCAAAGTTCGAAGGGTTCTTAAGGTAATATAAAGAATTTTGAAGAAATGTCAGTTGGTATGCAATAAGGCTTGAAAAAATTTCACTCATCTCCGAATTGGCGATAAAAATATATGGAAAATGAAATCGTTTTAACATTTAAAGTTTCATGAAACTTTTAAAAATGTTTGTAACCTTTAATGCATAAATATAACTAAATATAAGAGAAAAATAACTATTTTCAGGGGAATCGCAGGTAAAATAAAATTTCTCAAATATCGGACTGAATTTTTAGTTTACTTATAGGTTAGAAATAAATTATCAACACTTTTAAGACAATATATGCCTTCATATTTTTAAAAACAATAAAAAAAACTGGGAAATAATAGAAAATATATTGATAAGGAAAAGTAATAGCGTATTTAAGGATAATGGATGATTCTGGTTTTTCTAATTTTAGTTACTAATGGCTTTCCAATTTTTTTTCGCATATGTGAAAAATGGAAAAATTGAATTTCACTAGAAAACCATATCTATGAAATTAATCTTTTATTATTTGGTTGATATATTGAAAAAATTTAAAAAAAAAAAGGGGATTTGATGGAATAATTTTTTCTTTTTTAGAAATTCTTTGAAGGAATAAAAGGCATTGAGATTTTCAATTCATCGAAAAGAATTTTGCATGGTTTAAAAGAATTTACTGAAGGAAAAAGGAAGTGATTATGGGTAATAAAAGGATTATCACTAATGAAATTTTAATGACTTGACTTCGTCATTTGAGCATAAACAACTTTGAATGAATGCAGTAAAACAACAATTAATTATTTTGAGACAACAAAGATCGCAACATCAGGAAACATCACTGCTGATATATTCAGTCCGTTACTAACCACACTTCAGGTGTTTCCGGAATCTTCTTTAAATGGTTTGAAAGAGTGCTAAGAGAATATAAAAAATTTTTAAGAGATGTCAAGAGGTATGACAAGGTTTGAAGATTTTAATTTTCCACATATCTAGAGCGACTGTTTTTAGTTCAATTACAATGCAAGATGGTTGACCTCTTCTCTTATCTTCCATGATTTTGCAAGAAAAAAGAGAAAAGAGCAATAATTGTGATAATAAGTGTTGTGAATATAAATTGAATATTTCTCCTTGCAGCATGAAATTTTTCCAAAATTTTTTCGCAACTTTCAAACATAATTTCATTTCTTTACCTCGTTTTTATTCGATTGAGATTGATATGAGAAAGTTTCATAATCAGATATTACTATTCCAGTGACAGGATCTGCGACATATTTTCGCCCAATTTTCCTACCCTCACCATCTCCTCCTTGATTGAAGTCTGATCCAGCAGAATGAGGTCTAGCGCTACTTGTCCAAACAACTTTCGACATTCTGAAACAGTTTTTCAAGAACCTAACGATGATTAAACTGAATATTTTTTATTAACATAGTTGTCAGAAAGGAAATCAAGAGGAATTCTCGAAAATGACTGCTATGCATTGAGTGAATTTCAAGTATGAAAATTGTTAATGGCCGTGACGATTTTAGGAACACTTCCTATATAATTAAAGGATAACAAATGATTTTTAAATTTAGACCAAATTCAACTGAACAGGAAGCAATAATATGATTAGGCCACCTTTTTTTATGAATTTATTGTCACATGCAAAGCGATGTAGAAGAGGCTTAATTCAGAGAGAATAGGATATCATAGTTTTAGCAGAGAAAAACGTTAATTAAAGCAAGAATGCCAGGTCAGTCAGTTATTGTGCATTTTCAGTTCAATTTAAATTTGCCGCATAACATAGAGCAAAATAGGCAAAATAAGTTCTAAGAACGGAATGTAAGGCAACGAAAGAAAAAGAATTTTCAAAGAATTTCTATTTTTATATGTGCTTATACAAGAAGCTTGGCCGATAAGGGAGAGCAAACTATTCACATGAGTTCCAGCATGAATGAATTGATTTGACACTGATAAGAAGAGTGATCTTTTTGAATTGAATCTATGAGTTTGTTTGTTTTTGGCTGAATATTATTCCCATTCCTAAAACTGTATTCATTAGGAACGCAGTGAACGACTAGAGTGGCGAATAAAGGAAATTATAAGAAATTATTGGAAAAAGAACAGTTGAGCAGTTGAGTTTTATGGAAAGTATTGGAGGCTTTCGCGTTGAATGAAAGGCTTCGTTATAACGTCATATAAATATTCAATATCCAATTATCCAATTCGAAGTTATTTGATAAATTTTATGTTGGGTGATAACAATAACAATAGCAATAAAATTAAAATCTTTCATAGAGGTATTAATAATTTAAAGAAGTAATAAATTCGACAAAAGTAGCCTTCTAAAGTAAAAGGAAGAGTCGTGCGCCTCTAACGTTAAATCAAAAGTTAAAAATGATTGTTAATGAGGAAGAAAAGCCGAAAACCCAGACAGTCAGGAAATTAGACATCTTGCGCTAAACATTTGACCAAGTTGTGAATGCAATCTTCTTCTTCTAACAGCTCTCACCATTACTGGTTAGGCTGGTTCCAACGACTACAAGGATAAGACGCTTCCAAGCGATGCGGTTTAATGCCATCGTCGACAGTAATAGAAGCCATCCATTCTTCCATCGTCAAAGTCCATATATTACTGGTTTACCTATACGTTCAAAATCTTTTCTCCGTAACAGTCCAGGTTCTTGATTGACTTACCTTGCTTTTAACGCCTTCTATCACAGCATACAATGGAAAAAAAGACAGTAAAATTGGTACTATAATGCCCAGAAATGATAAGAAAGTTGTTTTAAAGAAAATTTTAGTGGATGAGAATCAAACAAGCCATAACCCTAATCCAGAGCAAGGTTTTCTATGAAAGCTTAGAGAAGTGAGGAAGCTGAAGGAGAAACCTACGAAACTAGTTATTAACTCATCTTATGATACTTCTACAGTATCACCATTTTTTGATCTGCCAAGACAACAAATTCCACTAGCAAAAACAATTGCGACTCAATTAAAGGTTCAGACGTTTAATATTTTTCACCGATGAAGTATTCTTTAATTGAGGTCTTTATCACTATTTTTTTAAGGCATTATTTTATGGTATACTTAATAAATTACAAGTTTTACCATATGCAATAAGAAACCAAAAATTCTTGTGAATTTTTGTAACGCTTTAAAGTCGAGTCCTCAACAAAACGAGACATGCCTTAATTTTAGAATATCACTTATTTCTATGCTTTATAAATAATAATGATAATAGTTTAAATAATAATGAGTATTTTAAAATTTGAATGATTGTTGATTATTTGATATAGCAAGTAATTTGCTATTTTCAATTTCTAACCAATTCTCAAGATCCACCGCCATGAGAAGAATTACTGGCCATGATCATTATAGCTTCAAATAAAATTGTCTCTTTATAAACATTTTTTGAGCCTTAGTAAATATGCACTATGCAAACACACGCACATTTTGCTGCTTCTTCATTTCTTATTGTAATAAGAAAAAAAAGGTAAATTTTAAAATTTTAGCAAATTAATTCTAACCTTACGATGTAATATTATATAATCTTAGTTATTATTTTGATATAAAAAAAGAGCAGTAGGAACCAAATGACGTTGACCTAAGATGACGAGTAAATAAAAATTCTTATCAATAGAATGTGATAACATTTCTACAATCATAATAAACTATTGAAAATTTATTGCTCGATACGCAACCTACTATAAATAAAGATGACAAGTTAACCGAATGGATAGAGACTGAAAACCCGGGCAATGATGGCGATCTACTAATATATCACTAAGTGACTCCCTTGCAAAGATTTCCTCACTATTGACAATAATTTGTTGATATTATATAGAATATACCTTTATTGCAGAATCATCGAGAAAAAGAGCCGTTGATTATTAAAATACTAAAAAATACTTTAGAAAGGTAATTTGATGTTCTGTGGCATAAAGGAAAAAAGGAACAATTGGTTATTTAAATGTCATCATTATAAGGTACGCATAACTTTTTCACTTTCTTCACTGGTATATAGTAGAATTTCAAAGCAATTATTTCGGACAGCCATTGAATTATTCATATTCCAATGGCACTACCTATTTCTGTTTGGCTGACTCTAATGGCTACATTAGACTGAGGGCCCTTCGAGAAAGTCACTTGAAAGTAAGATTCCATTACTTCTTTAAAACAGAAGTGGAATCTAATCATGGAACGCTGAAATTAAAAAATGCTTTGCAAACAAACGCAAATACTAATTTTTCTTTAAAGATGAACAAATAAAGAAAAAAAATCCAATTAAATCAGCTAAGAATTCGAAATTAGTTGAAAAATGAAATAAAAAAATGAAAATAAATCAAAATTTAAAAAAAAAGGATTAAATTGATGAATATTGTACAAAGCAGGTTTTCCACCTGTTAAGCAAATCAAAAATTAGTGGTATCAATAAAGAGTGCAGTACAAATATATATCGTTTGCGCTTAAATATCACTTTTATAACTTATAACTTATTAAATAACGTAATTAACCTTGTAATTTCACTATTTAGAGTCTTTTCGATAGCCTAATTACCGCTATTTCAGTATTAAATATGAGAGGAAATTGAACCTGAGGAAATTAATCATATGTTTCGAGATTAAATCGTAATTTTTTGTTTCCAGTCATAATTATTTAACTAAAAAAAACAAATGACAAATCAACGAAGACTTCATAGTTGCCAGCATTACTATTCAAACTGGTTAATAGATGCAGGAATGAGACATTCTTGAGTTGCTCGATCTGGCACTATATCTAAAAGTAAGAGAAATAATTCCTTTTTCACATTTCATTTTCCTCTTTCGCTCAACTATTACATGGTATCGATAGCATCGTCATAAGCATAATGAAAACGAGGATTCCCAATCAACGCTGGTCGACACAGCTAGAAAAAATTTCGAAAGAGAACGATATATGGATTACGAAAAAGAAGCAGCTTTAGTTGATTTCAAGCATGAGGTTGAATCGAGAGGCTTGGAAGGGTCATAATCTATTCACCAGTACAGCCTGCCAAGCAGAAGTGCAGCTATCTAAAAATGATGAAAAAAATAGAAATACTCAGATTATAAGATTGGAATAGATTGAAAAATTAAGCAAGAAAGTATTTAGTTACACTTTAAAATTATTATAGGCAATAAATAGTTTATATGGCCTGAAGAATTAATTTAAAAAAGCATTCACTTTCTCGTTATGTCTCGCAAAATCTTGAAAATTCAATTTCCTTCTTCCGAAAAATGAAAATATTTTTAGATGAGCTCGAAGCTAAGCTAAGTTTGAATTGGTACTATTTCTATGATTGATCACTTATAAAAGAATAGGCAATCTTTGAATTAGGCTAAAATCCGCCAAGAATTCAAAGAAAGTTAAATGTTCAAATTTATAGTTAAATGTTAGTCTGTAGTATGAGGAATGAAGAATTTGCGATGATGGCCAATGATCGTTGCAGCATGTTTCTATTATTATTATCGGTTTGAAATTATTGGTTTTCAAATACAGAACATTACGTACACAATTCACCAGGAAAAAAAACACGTCTAGCAAAATCTACCAATTTTTCAATCCCTATTGAGTATCATCCTAATGTCTTCACAAATCCGGATAATCTCCTTTAAAATTCAATCCAAAGTGCGCAATTATCAAAATCCTTTGTGAGCGACTCATAAATTTATGAAGTTTCCTAGCTGTCAAATCGCATTCTATTTTTTTGCTAGAACCAGGCAGTAATATCTCTTGAAACATCATTTTTACTCTATCATTGCTATGGTAATACTACAAACTCTGCTATACACACCAATGCTTCTTAAATACTTTTTGCATTGACTCTAAAATTCCGCTTCATCTCCTAAGACCAATTTTTGCTTATGTAAAACTCCTGCAAACTCCACCTTTAGCTCTCAGAAATTTTTTACCTGATCTACTTGCATTGCCATTTCATGCTTTACCCTTCTAAATTCAGTTTTATTACGTATCCCTATTTGGCTGTTTTGTTAATCCCCAGTGGAATTACGCTTCGGAGACAGTTACAAAATATAATTTTGTCCAAACATAAGAATGGCAAGTATATGGAGTAGCGAGGAAGCATAATGAGAACTGGAGTGATATGTTCTTCGAAACCTATTATAATTCTTCTCTCCCTCTAAATTTCTTGAATTTTTTTGACGCCACATCAAACTACATTGTATCTTTTTTTTTTAAGTCGAAGCATCTTTAAAGAATCTTTAAGAATAATTGCCATCTTTTTATATTCCTTTTTTCCAACCCATATTCTCGAAAAACCTGAGATATTTTCTGCCCCCTCGTCTTCCGTTGTATTGGACCCTTTAATATCCCCTAATTAACAAATTATTCTAATTTTTCAACTAAAAT